ACCGCCTCAGTTCCCTCGATTACATCGTTGGCAGAACCCGCGACAAATCCAAAGAAAGGTATGAATGCATTTGCTATCAGGACCTGTTTGAAAGCATCCGAAATGTCAAGTTTACACAGTTTGGTGCCATGGCCTTCATTGGAGGTGATAGCGATAGTGTGGTCAATTGTGACATATGAAAGAGAACACTGATCTTTGTCGATGAGCTCATTGATGCTGAGTATTTCCTGTTTGTCGTGGAGCGCTGACAGGTTGAGAATGAGTCTCATCTTCTGGCTGTATTTACCTATGGCCAACCCAAGGGGACTCACCTTGTATACATGATATGGCACTGTTGAAAATGGACCTGCAACATAATCCTTTGTAACTTCAGATTTGACGAGAAGTGACACTGCAGCCTGGTCTTTTCTAGCAATGTAATTGTTGTTGCACTCTATGGAGGTTGTGGGTAGTGGATGAATTAAAGGGTTGAAGCCGTATCTTAGACCATTAATCAAATAGTTGGTGAACTGGATATCCGGATGAAGAGCCAGTTCAAATTGTAACCGGGCATTGTTAATAGGGGTGAATGGAGATGATACAGGCAGTTTCCATGGGTACGGCGGATTTGTTACAGGTGGTATCCAGCCAAACCTTCTTTCTCTTGTCGCTACAGTTGTTTTTCCCATGGCTTGGCTCCTTTCAGGTTAAGCAGACATGCTCAAACAGACAGTTTCTTCTGACGCAACCTTGGTCGTTGAAATTGTTGCAAATTTCTTTGCCATTGAACCTGACCTTGGGACGTCCCCTGATGTTAGCCTTGTCTTGTCGATATCCTTGTTGTCTATCAGAGACTGGTGTGTTGTACCGCCGTGGTTTGTACTCGTAGCAATGGTCTCTATCGTGTGTCACACTATGGCAAATTTGGCACGACCTTGAGGTTCTTGTAGAGCCCCAAGTGAGAATCTGTTGATCAGGCATATCCCACCTGATTGGTTGACCTTTCTTGGCATATGAGGCCACGCGAGAAGCAAACAGTTTATGGTAATCATAGTGGTTGCTTTTTCCTGGGAATTGCTGAGCCAGATTATGACTGTCCTTTCGTGAGCGTCCAACTGGCACCTGAGTTCATTGTTGTTTTCACAATAAATGTTCTTGAATGTGGTGAAAGCCACAATGAAATCTGGTAACAACAAGGTTCTTGATAAGTTGCCATTTGGGCTCTTTTGACTGAATCCCTTTTCGCCATAGTCTATATCTTGTAATGGGAGAGCTAGATTCACCTATTTATCGGCTTTGATCTTGTCCTTGATCGCTTCTGGCACTGTGTCTATCGGGGACAGGCTGTCTGAAGGCACCGCTTGATGCATCTGGTGTGCAGTTCTGTTTACATTCTCTTGACACATGGCACAGATAAACTCCTTCAACTCCCTCACCTCGTCTCTCAGGTTTCTGTCCGCCATGTTGGATACCGGAACTTCCGTCTGGTTACAGTCAGGTCGAAGATGGGATGCAGATTGTCGTTAACATTGAGAAGTGTAGCTGGAGTGTTGATCCTTACTCCTGTCATGCATTCTCTGGCGAAGTCGTCTGGAGTCTAGAATGCATCAGTCTGTCCCTCCGCTGCCTGTGTCTGCAGAATGTCGTTCCTAGTTGGCCTGTTGTTGTCACTGGGGTTGTCTATCAGCCGGCCACTAGCTACGTTTTCCTTGTACAGCTGTAGCAAGAATTTTCTAGACCACGCAGCCGGAACTTTCATCCCCAGTTGTTCGAGTCTGTTTCTGAGGTCTGTAGCTGTCAGATACGGTGGGTTGGTGGCGTGAGACTGGTGAGGTGTACGAGGGGGTGGTCCGCCATCTTGGTTGTTTACATCGGATGTTATGGAAGGTAGGTTAACGCTTTTGGTCCGACCAAATTTCCTTGTGTGTGCAACACGATTCCTCTTTGGATCCAACATTGTCAACACGAAGCTCTCCTGGTGAAGAATGATACTGGATGGCGTATTCAGTGGTGGATTCGAGAGAGATTTTGAGAGCATTACGCCATGACAATAGAATTGACAAGGAAGACAAAGCAAAATCTTTGGGGTTAAATAGTCTCGAGCATGACGTTTCTGAGTATGCGTAGCTGATAAATTAATGCATTGTGGGATATGAAGAGAGTAACCTTATACATAACAGAAAAGCATGGCTAATGATGTGACGTGAAATAAAATATTAGAAGTGAGGGTAGGTTAATGTATGACATAAGCATGTACATGCTAGTGAAGAGTATAACCATGGTGAGGAAATAACAGGGTATAATAGACTGGATAAAGAAGTACACGTATGGATAAGTAGGTAATGATACTTGTCGATATGGCTAGAGTAATTTTCTTTGTCCCTGCACAAACTAAAATAATAAATTACCATCGAAGGACTCTGCGGGATAGCTGATCCTCTCAACACACTGCACATTAACTCGATGCAATGGTCGTTCCGAAAGTCTGGGCCGATTTGATAAGGCACTTCGCTTGGTTGACACTCATTTCTGTACCATCCAGCAGTACAGAACCATCAACAATTCAACACCGACATTGAGATTATGTCCCACATCCTTGGCACATTTTAGAAAAGTGTGGAATGCATTGTTTTCATCATGAGTCTTGACATGCTTCACAAGAGGATCATCAGACAAATAAATGTGTGCAAAAGTCCACAGAACAATTCTGTCATGAAGAACCTCCACAAACCACACCCTCTCATCATAATTGGTAAATATAAACGATTGAGGGAAGAGCGAGGGTTGTGGGATCTATTGTCTGATATGATTCTTTGTGTGAGGGTGTCAATACCCCGAATTTCTTGTTTCGTCTAATCAACAACACCAAAAGATTATTATTATTATTATTTGTTCCGGAAATACCTCAAGAACAAGAGAACAGGTCTCCTTAAGGTCTCCAAGAGTCTGAAGCAGTTACCACAAAAATCTCAAAGCTCTAAGCTCTAATGACTTCCAAAGTCATGTAGCAGTGGAATCAGATGCCTATCAATTTAGCCATTTTTCTTAGTACATCTCCGACCAAATCTCTAAAACTACCCAAGCAAAGGCTTCCAAACTTTGTCTCCATGCAATTTACCACAATAAGTATTCGCCAAATTTTGATATGTCTCTTGCTGGCCACCATAATCAATGCTACACCTGTCCAAAAGTTGCCTAAAAGTTTTTGCATGACATCGTGAATGTTTTGCATGGAATGTCATGTGAACTAGTTTCAGACATTTACTTTATTTATTGACAATGGATGCTGAACAAGTTCTGTTCTTGATCATATGTCAAAAGTCATGTAATGTGGCAGCCTTTTTTTATTTTATGTGGAGGTAGTATTTGTTATTTTGGTAGGGTACACATCTTTCGCTTTCCTCTGAATCGAGCAGCAGCAGTACTTTCTACATTTGCAGAGATTGTCTCCATATAACCTACAGCAAAGATTTCTGTTTTTATTTATCTCAATTAGTTGTGGCCACATTGGATTTTACTTCTGATCCAAAGTTTCTCATAAAATTTGCTTAAAAAATTTGTATGTTCATTAGTTTTTCATAGAAATGATTTCTTAAAGGCAATATGTAGCAACAAAATATGTTGCATATTTCTGTACTTAAAATTTTTATATATTTCAAAATTTGCTGCGTTTTATGGCCACATTAGGTTTCTCGTTAGAAAACTTTAGAAAAATGTATCTACACATGTTCTTCATTGAAAACATTGCAAATTGGCATGACACATCAACATTAAACGCTGAACATTTTATGTTCTATGTTGATTGTCAAAAGTGGCATCACTTAGCGGTCATATTGCTATGTGCGTTTGTGTGTGCGTTTGTATTTTTGTTTGTGTGTGTGTTTGTGCAAGCAAGAATTTCGGTTCAGTCCTTGTTTTCTATATAATCAAATGATAAACCATCCAAATGGACCTTCATGTATGTCATAGTGGATAATCCCAATTCCTAGAAGTATCCCATGTAGAGATAACTCAACGACTGGCCTGATTCTTTTGAAATTTTAAATATGCATCTATACTGTTTAGTACCAGACACCAACAAGATACCAAAGCCATAGTCCTTTTGATCAAGGGCAGATAAATTGAAAAGAAGATATATTGTGACCAATTGCTCCAAAACCACTAGTCTAATTACTGTCAAACTTTATATGTGTCAGCTGATTTTAGTGTTTGACATTTTATGTTCTTTGACTTATGTCGATAGTCAAGTGGTTTGGCAGCCAAAGAGGATTAAAGGTTTTCAGTGTGCATTTTACTTTGTTTGTGGATACGTCTTCAAAATCCTAATCCACTAAAGTTACTAGATGAAATGATTCCAAACTTTAAGAATTCTAAGAATTGTCTCCATACTTATTATATTTAGAATTGTCTCCATACTTATTATATTTAGTATGTTTTCCGGTTTAAATATCTTTTTTTTTAACATGAGTTGGGACATTTTATATTCCAACTTGGGAATTTTAATTGACATTTCTTTCAGATTAGGTACCGAATAGTGGCACCTGCACAGGAGTATATCAATCTGTAAATGTGATCCTGTGTGAGTGAGTGAGTGAACTTATATACGTTTAAAGTCATATAACCACTACATTAAAAATATCAGGAAATGTGGTTAAAATGGCACACACACTTACTAAAACACCTTAACAGTGATCTCAGGAGCTTTTCAGTTAAAGGTCCTGGTTGATTAATGGATGGCATATGCCACGTTTCATTGACCTACAGTCAGGACAGGATCAGTTTCTAAGATTATCCTTGACTCTTAACATGACAGAGCACTGTCTCACTACTCGATCCCCTTGACTATCAAGGAAATATGCTTGATATGATATTCTGGAGGTGTCCAAGCAGTACATGCAAATAAGAAAACAAAGCAGGGGCAACAAATTCGGTCTAAACCAAAAAGCATGCCATTTCACACGGGGCTGCTTAGAAAAGAAAGAGAGAAAACATGTTTTCTGGTCAATAAGTCGTCTACTCACCGCCTATTGTCATTTTGTAATCCCTCCGATATGAATCATTCACATACCGCTGCACAAATGATGTCTTTCCTACAGTTGGATCACCAATTATTATCACCTTAAACAACAACTCTGCCATACCTCATTCCATAACAGAAAACATTACCCACCAAAGAATTGTCACTTAATGAAGCACAGTTTTCCTGACGAAGGTTCTCCTCAAATCAATTAATGATGAAGTATAGTTTACATAAATTTGTATTCTCTCAATAACTCAATGCAATATGTCTGACAAATTGATTCTGTGTTGCCAAATAAAGTGCATGTAATCAAATTTGCTGAACGTGAAGATTTCCTGAAGAATAACTCTGCTTTTTAGTTGCACTTGTGACACAGCATCCAAACTTTCTGCAAGTTATGAAGAAACTAGGTAAATCTTCCTCCTTTTATGATCTTGAAAACACTTGGATAGCTTTCCTTCTGTTCAACTTCGATAGCTATCTGTATGACACCTGAAAAAAGATTTTACCATATGTAAATCCAAGAGAAGCCAACACAACCTTATCATTTAGCAAAACATTTTTGTAAAAAGTCTCCTTCAGTAACTTTCATCTCAATAAAGCAAGTTGCATGATTTTCAATGCTGACTGGTCAGTTGAAATGTCATAATGTTTCCCTGTTGAGAACCCGATATGACATCATCCATAGTTTAGGACATCAATTTGAAAAGCATTAAGTCATCAGAATAAGAAGGTGACAAAAGTTTCTCTATAAGGTTGCCATTTCATTTATTTTTTTTCATCATTTTGAAATAAAAATAATAATGAGTAATTATAGAAAAAAGAACTCGAAACTCAGAATTACGGATTATCTGTCCATGTGAATAATAACAAGTGTACTATATTGACAATATTGAATACAAGAGTCATCAGAAAGATGACATATCCCCCCGGCAGCTGTCTGTAAAGTAACCACTAGTAAATTTGCAATTCTGTATGTAATGAGTCAACAGTTGAATGTCCTTTAAGAAGCATACATTGTTTACCCAATGGAGTCTAGGTCCAACTTCTTTCCATAAAAATTGTAAAAAATAAAAATTTGTAAACAAAAATAATATCAAAAGGCACCACTTCAGTATGTGCCTGATAGCTTTGCAAGGTTTTGATAAAATACACTGAATGGTTTTCGAATTCTGCCCCGGAAACGAACCCCATCCCCAATTGAGTCTATGTCCAACTTCATTCCATAAAAATTAAAAAAATAAAAATTAGAAAAATCCCAAAATATCAAAAGGCACCACTTCAGTATGTGCCTGATAGCTTTGCCAAGTTTCGAATTAAATACACTGAATGGTTTTCGAATTCTGCCCCGGAAACGAACCCCATCCCCAATTGAGTCTATGTCCAGCTTCATTCCATAAAAGTTTAAAAAAATAAAAATTAGAAAAATCCCAAAATATCAAAAGGCACCACTTCAGTATGTGCCTGATAGCTTTGCCAAGTTTCGATCAAATACACTGAATGGTTTTCGAATTCTGCCCCGGAAACAAACCCCATACCCAATTGAGTCTTTGTCCAACTTCATTCCATAGAAATTGAAAAAAATAAAAATTAGAAAAATCCCAAAATATCAAAAGGCACCACTTCAGTATGTGCCTGATAGATTTGCCAAGTTTCGATCAAATACACTGAATTGTTTTGGAATTCTACCCAGGAGAAGGCAATGATTACGGACGGACAGACGGTCAGACGAACAGACGGACGGACAGACAGACTGGCTGATCGCTATATCCCCCCGCATTATATGCCGGGGGGATAATAATGAATATGTACTACATAAATAATGATGACTAATGGGTAAATATACTGAACAAAAAAAGTTCCTGTGACACTGAAAAAGATTTAATGCAAAGTTATGTTTTTTACCAAATCTGAAACAATTTCGGTTTGCAACAGATAAAAGACTCCTGTAAGTGTTCAAATGGTTTAATTTGCCATACTGACTTCAGAAAATGTATGATTTCATAAAAAAAATAAACATGCCAAAATGTCAATTTACAAATCAAAAGCGTGTGCATCCACCTCTGGTTGCGATGCAAGCAACACATCTTCGTCTCATGGAATGGACCAGGCGTCACACAAAGTCCTGTGGGATATCTGTCCATATCTGCTGGAGCATGTTTCAAAGTTCCTGGAGTGTCTGTGGAACACGTGGTTGAGATCGAAGGCGCCGATCCATCTCATCCCACATGTGCTTGATTGGTGAGAGATCAGGGGAGTGAGCCGGCCAGGGGATGACATTCACGTTGTTTTGTTGAAGAGAATACTGAACAAGTTGAGCAATATGAGGCCGGGCGTTGTCATGTTGAAAGGTAATGCCCGGGCCATGACGATGCAAAAACGGTAGAACAACAGGGCCGATGATCTCATCGTGGTAGCACTGTCCATTGAGATTCCCCTCTACCACTATCAGACGGGTCCTCTGTCTTGCTGTAATCCTACCCCATACCATAACGCTGCCGCCCCTGAACCGATCTTCTTCCATGACACAATGATTGATGTAACGTTCACCTCGACGTTGGTACTCTCGAATCCGTCCATCGTTGTGGCTGAGGTAAAAATGAGACTCATCAGTGAATAGAACTTGTCCCCACTGCATGGCCGTCCAGCGTAGACGCTGTCTGCACCACTGTAGACGTGCTTGACAGTTGTTTCCTGTCAAAATGGGACGTCTGGCGGGTCTTCTGGCGACAATTCCTGCACATCTGAGGCAACGACATACGGATTGAGAAGATATTTGTCGAAGGCCAGGGATGCTTCTTGCAGTCACTGTTGCTGGCTGGAATCGATTTCGTAGGTGTGTTGTTCGAATCCAGTTGTCTTGTCGATTATTGGTTACGCGTGGCCTGCCACTCCAAGGATGGTCTCTGACTGCATTCGTCTGTTGCCAACGTTGCCATAAACACCAAATGGTGTTTCTGTGGACATTAAATTGTCTTACATCATGTTGACTCGATCCTGCTTCAAGCATACCAATGGCTCACAGAAACTCATTTTCGGACAGGCGTGGCATTTCGTAATGTTGAATAATTTTTCTGAGTGGTTGTTGTCAGCACGATGCTAAACAATGCATATGGAATCCCGTTAACCCACGTTTTTATACCCATTCTTGGGTAGTGAAATGCATTGGGCTTGCATAAAAGTCAACTTTTGCATGGAATGCATGCTTTTCTGTAGCTGTTGCGCTTTTGTGACTTGATTCGAGACATGTACAACAATACTGAAAACCAAACTTTACTTGTTTGAAAAATACACTAAAATATTGGTGTCACAGGAACTTTTGTTGTTGCGTATATAAACATTTCAACAGGTGATCTCATTAAAATCAAATCTTAGTGCTTGCTACCACCATACAATGATCTGATGACATCCCACTACATAACATAACAACATTTCAGAACATGGATTACAAGATCACAAAAGTGAAAGTCCACATGTGTTTTCTAATCATGCAACCTCAAAAAGGTTAACATGAAACATTCTGAGCTAATCTACGTATATACTTGCCTCAATGGGATAAACATGTACAACAGAAGGGACTTTCCAAAGCCCAAGGGAAGTACTGCCATAAAATCTCAGTCACCTACTGGATATTCCAGTATTTTCTTTTGTTTAGTTTTCAATTTTGAATTGAGAACTTTGTCAAAATATATTTCAAAGTATAGTCTCGTATGGACTTCTACATTTTTTAACTAGTGCAATAAAACTCCTTTCTGATTGGCTAATGTAGACTTCCTGTTAGTCATTTCACTGATCAGTCAAAATTCACTTGTCAAGCTGTGAGAATGTATTTGAGAGTGGTCAAGAGCATGGTCAAAACACAAGGTTAAATCAATGTCAAAACTTCAAATACATTTGGTTGTGTTGAGCCCAACTACAAATTACATATTCATGAAATTTCACTTCATTTAGTAATACTAACAGAATTGCCAAGTATTAGCTGAAACAGTTCTTCTCAATGAGGCTGCCATGGTGGCTATATTGAAAATAAAAAAATGAACCTTTCAATACTTTCAAGCATCATTGTTGGAATAAACATACACAGTCTCATTGACCTCACCATTTCTGAGGTGAAGATATTTACAGAGGACACTGGTGACCTTCAGAAAAACACCTTTTCCTTTTACAAGGGGTTGGTGAAAAGTTCTGAGCCTACTGATGAAGGGTGTATGGTACACCCTAAACAGTTTGAATGTGTCAGTACAGTACTTTCCATGCTGACAGGCTGCATTGGAACCTCAAACAGAACCAGGCAGCACAGTGACTAGGTATTCTCTGTTGATGAAAATTGACAAAATCGGCTGCCATGCTATCATCAAGTGTCTCCACCTGGAACTCCAAAAGCCATGCATGTGGACATTGTGTCAAGTTTACAGGATGATGCACAGGGATGTATCTGGACCTGATCAGATGCCGATATATGGCCCCAAGTCTGTTGCTAATGACAGCAAAAATTTAAATTTTGCATTAAAAATCCTCCACCTCCTCAGAATTTACAAATATATGATAGTTAAAATAATCAACTTATGAACAATATCACAATATCTTCCCAATTTGCCTGCCAAGAACACTTAGTTTGGAATCCTAGATAAATCCCTGGATGCACCTTCCTTTGCCACTGTTAAGATATCAGCAGTGAAGTATAAGAGGGGAAGACAGAGTCTCGAAAATGATCCAAGATCAGGAAGTCCTCTAAATACCACCACTGGGGAAAGCATTGATATAAGACATGACATGGTTATGGATGATTGATGACTAATCACATGGTTTACAGCCAACAGAGTAGGCATCTCTTATGAGTCTGAACATTCTGAGGAACGACAAGGGCTTCGGCACGCTGGGTTCAAAGGTTTCATTTTGCTCGTGTTCAGAAACACTCAAGGTTCATCATTATTTATATTATATATCTTAACATCCATGGGCACAGGGCTTAAGCAATGAAATGACGAAGAAGTGTCTCCCTTCTGTCCTAACTCCGCATGAAATTATACAATTAATTAACTTAATGTGACTCTTATCATGACAGATGGGGAACTAAACGTGATTCTCTTCATAATGAACTCAATAAACTATACAAAATACATGATGACCACGAAGGGAGGGATGAATAACTATCTACAGGAGTAAGTACACTCTTTATATCTATAAGGACCATGAATATTGGACCATGTTATATCTATAAGGACCACGAATATTGGACCATGTTATATCTATAAGGACCACGAATATTGGACCATGTTATATCTATAAGGTCCACAGATATTGGTCCATGTTATATCTATAAGGACCACGAATATTGGACCATGTTATATCTATAAGGACCACAGATATTGGACCATGTTATATCTATAAGGACCATGAATATTGGACCATGTTATATCTATAAGGACCATGGATATTGGACCATGTTATATCTATAAAGACCACGAATATTGGTCTACAATAACGAAAAGTAAAGTGCGTCTTGCTCCAACAAACAAAAAGCCTACACTCAAGATTGGAATGCATCATGTGTCAGAATCAAGTTTCTGCATTTGCAATGAATGCCATGATCTGCCGGAAGTCTTTTCTGAGAAGCATGTGGCGTTTATATGAATTGTTCATGTGACATGAACTGAAACAATGTTTTTTTATTACCGGTACCTCTCCTCAACAGTTGGGTAATACATTGTTTTATTTTCTAACCGCATAGATTTAACAAACGAACCATTTAATCATAACAACTTAAATTTGTTCTCATCCCAGAAATCTTTGATAGGCATTTAGAAGTTGCAAGAACATGAATAGATGACAATTTTTTAAGTATAGCAAATTCTTTTTTCTTCGTCACATTTCAGAGCTACTTCTTGCTCCTTCATCAGGTGAATTCTAAGTGCATAGAGTTAATATGTATATAGATAAATCATGATATGTTTACACAACTCAAGGTGGGATGAATGTACAAAGATAACAATATTATGACAAAGCTAATCCTATCTCATTGATATCTTTGTACATTGTTTCTGAGTAGGAAATGGGGCAGTCAGGTAGCCTAGCGGTTAAAGCATTCTCTCGTCACACCGAAGACCTGGGTGCGATTCCCGACATAGGTACAATGTGTGAAGCCAATTTCTGGTGTTCCCTGCTGTGATATTGCTGGAATATTGCTAAGAGCAGTCTAGAAAATAATACTCACTCACTGATGTTTCAACATGCCGTACATGCTTGCCTTGTCATGAGCTCACTTGATTGTCAGCTGAGCGATGGTAATGGCTATGTAATGGTCATGACTAGGGTCTTCAATTTGATTGCTGCAGTGGCGACATTGAAATCGGATTCCAAGCCCTTGACCAAATCAAGTGTGAGAAAAACAATTCCACAGGTACAGAAGCTCACCTCTATTCAAAGTAATACACTGAGTGTGAATGTCTAGAAATAGCTATTTGTATTAAAATAAAAGACTATTTGACACAATGTGTTTATGATTTTTTTAAAGTTCTCAGAAACATTTTATGATACAATTTTATGAATTCATACTTGGTTAACCTATTTGACAGAATACCTAATGACTACTAAGTCATATTCCAGTTAATTGTGTCTACAATCTATGATTCTAGTCACATTCAAGTAAAGAGGTTTTTCCACGCCTGCTTGGCAGAAGACTTCATCTGTTAGCCTTCTGTGAGATGGATCCAGAGAATGATTACCCTGATGGTAAAAAGAAATTCTGACGTAGCAAAGTGGTTTTTAACTAACAATTCAAGTGAGTGGAGTTTAACTGTATTTTCATTCAGCTAAACTACGGCTGTAAAGATACAACCATGGTTTAATACTGGATAATCTATTGTTCAAAACTGCTTTAATCCAAATATTTCACAGACCGATTTCTTATCATGATAATAGTGGTGCCAGATAATGACACTATATAATTATGTGCACAGCAAACCAGCAAACTTAGTGTGACTGGAAATTAACAATACTCGTCTTGATAAACAGCAATTTGACATTATCAGTGGTGAAACAACCTTGTTAACATGCACTAATTAGTTTGATACACATATGATGTATCTGATGTATGAATGTTGGTGAACATCATAATTAACATATCCTTATGACAGTAAGGAGTTACAACAAATATTTTGGGAATTGTATGGGAAGACTCTAGATAAAACCTTGAACTACATCAAATTATTGGTTTCTTGTCTGCAGTCACAGATGTAATACCCAAGGATTTCAAAAAAAAAATTTGAACTTGGGGAAATGTTCTGCACACACTTCAGCCAGCTTAAATGCATGCGCATGGACTTTTTCTTTTTTTCTTTCTTTTTTGGACTCTTTGTACTTTTTTCTCCCCTGGCATTTCTTTGTCTGTATTGAAATTACTACCCAGGGTCTGCTCTTTCTACAGATGCTGCTGTCAGGGGCAATCAAAATTAGTCTTGAAGGATGAGGGGTTACTGATAGTTAAAAACACTGAAAGGGTTGAATATTTCATAACTTCAAATGGCTAAAAAGTAATTATTTTGGTAGTTTTGATGTACTTTAGTGACACTGTTGAATGCACATTTCCAGCAGCTTTCCATATATCTATAACATATGGAAGGTATGCCTTCCAAAAGGGGTCATATGACCAGCACGTAATGCATTATGGTAGGAAATCACGTTGGAACAAGCTTTGGACGTGCAGAGGACATATGCAATATGTAATGATCATAATTATGTATATAACATATCAACTTTATATCACTGTTAAAAATTTAAAAACATGCAAATTTTTATATTTGTATGTTAATGTCTATAGCATTACGTCACACCTACATGTATTTATACCAAAAGATGATATAAGATAGTACTTGTTGTTACCCTGCCTACAGCAGTAAGTCCCATGTACATGTAGACATGTGATTTAATTCTCTGGCCATGTCATACCAAAAGATGATACAAGATAGTACTTGTTGTTACCCTGCCTACAGCAGTAAGTCCCACGTACATGTAGATATGTGATTTAATTCTCTGGCCATGTCATACCAAAAGATGATACAAGATAGTATTTGTTGTTACCCTGCCTATAGATGAGTTGCAGATCCGCAATGACTCAGTATTAACCATAGTATCCCACGCGCAGAACTGGAACTTCTGAGCATGCGTACTTCGCTGTGCGGCAAAAACACACGGAAGTGCCCTACGTTTTTTCAGCCACAAATCAACATCACACCAGCAATTATATTGTATCATTTCTCCGTACCAAATGCCTGCCAGTTGCTGCGCTATCGACTGCAGTAATCGTGGGGGTGGGAAAAATCACCATAAGTTCTTTCGAATTCCGAAAGAGGAAGATGTTCGTAAGAAATGGATTTTTGCCATTCGCCGCAAAGACTGGATACCAACCGAATATTCACGCATTTGCAACAAGCATTTTCAGAGAAGTATGGCAATATATATTTTATCTTTTGACTTGCTGGTACATTCTTTTCGTCATCTAAAAGGTAGATATTTTCATAAAATGAAGGTCTGGTAACAAAATTTATTTTGTCATGACCTAGATCATATGACACATAGGCGTTCAAACTGACCTGAAGGGAAGTAACTCCAAAGCTGGTATCTCATAAACATCTTTGCTAGCTGGGCCCGTGGCTACGGTAGAGTGTTAGGAACTGAAGAACATTATGTATAATTGTATTTAACTTATGCTTGTTATGACGCAGCTTTAATTACATATAATCAATTCTTTTATTAACACTAACAACAACGACCTACTGTTTTTGGTTGCCTAATAGATCAAGGTTGGGTAAATGGATTTTTATATTGATCTACCTGGTATTTTAGAATAAAATGTACGTTTGTCTTAAGACTTTCTTATAAATTGTGCATTTTCTTTTACTAACAAAGGTCGTCCCTCAAAGGATCCAAATGATGTGGACTTTGTGCCAAGTCTGTTTTCCTTCAAAACAGAGAATGCTGCTACCACAACAGAGAATAAACAGACAGAACCGTTTGAAAGAGAGGCAAGAGAACGTTCAGCGCAGTGTAGCTGCATCAGCTCTTCTGTCTATTGCTAGTGTAAGTTCTCACTGATGTATTACTTTCATGGAATACCATATGCCTTTTAGTTTAGTGTAAGTAACATTAAACTTTACATACCATAGTAATCTTCCAGGGTGGGGCCTTGTGCTTTTAGCTTCTAAATTTGAAAAAAGCCAACATTTTCAAATATAATATATGGGATATTTTAACATTGTGCTGTACGGGCCAGTGTGGTTGTACCTCTGGTTATTTGAAATTTTCACAGAAAATTCCTAGAGTGAACCCTGATCTTCTCACAGTTACTTGTTTTCTTGAACATGTTGAATATAATTTTGTACTGTTTAAATTAAAAATACACATATTATGTTAAAATAATACAATTGTAAATTATGTTGTTTTTGTCAACAAATATTTGATTGTAAAAGACAGTATGTGTATCACAAAAGAGTTTGATAATGTGCATAATTACAAAGCATGTCTGTGCTAAGTTGTAAAGACTTATATTGTTTCTGCAGATTGATGGTGATAACAGCCCTGTCAGTGCGAGTGTCCAGACTGATCCAATGATGACAGCTCGATCTTGCTACCCTGCATCATCGCAGACTAACATACAGAATCGTGAGATGGAAGACATGCTTTCCTGGAAAGAATATGCCTTGCGACTTGAGATGACCAACCGTGTCCAGGAGAAGTACATCAGCACATTGGAAAAGCAAGTTGACCTCACACAGACCCTAGTTCAGTCCTTACAAGTTGACACATGTAAATTGAAGAAAACAGTATCAGAACTTAAAGTGGAAAATACCAGAGAATGCTGCATGAAGAACATTAAAAAAACTAATGACAAACAGTTATCATTTTATACAGGTCTACAGAATGTTAGTGTATTTATGGACATTTGCAGCGAGACTTCTCATCATGTCAATAGGAAGAAGAACAAGCTTTCTGCTGAGGATGAACTCCTCCTATCTCTGATGAAATTGAGGAAGAATTTATGCATGCAGGACTTGGCATAAAGGTTTGGTATATCGAAGTCATCGGCTACGAGGATCTTTCACGCATGGCTTGATGTACTGTACATCCACCTTGGAAGTCTAGTGAAGTGGCCTGATACTATTGAAATGCACCTACCCAAGTGTTTCCGCAACAAGATTTTCAGAAGAGTAAGATGCATCATTGACTGTACAGAAATCTCCATCGAGAGAGCCAGTTACATTCTTGGCATAGTACATTTTAAAAGTATGGTGTGTATTTGTACATGTATACATGTAGGCAGTAATTATTATATAACTAAAAGTGGTATACATTTCTACAGGTGATGTTGTTCTGGCTGACAGGGGCTTTTTCATCGACACTGAATTAGCAACTCAAGGGGCACAGCTTATGGTACCAGCATACACAAAAGGCAAGAACCAGCTCTCAAGACAAGAAGTTGAAACATCCAGAGTATATTCCAATGTGCGGATACATGTAGAGCGAGTGATTAACCGTTTGAAAGACTGGGGTGTGATGAAAGGTCCTCTCCCTATCACGTTTGTCAAGAAAGCGAACACTACAGCAGAGACCACTGTTGGAATGATGGTCCAAGTATGTGCAGCTCTTGTGAACCTGTGTCCTCCAATACTAGAATAGTGGTCTACATGGTATACCTGATGTATATAACATAAGAATTGGTAATGAAGTTGTGCTGAGTAGTGGACAACTTAATTGATCCTAGTACTATTGCTATGTTCAATATCCTTGTTCTGCTAAGTTAATTTTGAACAAGTAGATTTTAAATTACCGGTACACGGTAAACACTTTTTGATACAAAAAAAAAGGAACTGTTGATGTTATCAAGATTTATTCATGTACAGATATATTCAGCTTTTTGTCTTAAAAATTTACATATCATGACAGGTGAATTATATACGCACTGAAGCACATGTGAGTGAGTGAGATAAAATTTAACGTCGCATCAGCATTATTCCAGCCAGCCATATAGCAACTGAAGCACATGTAATATGTGTGGCGTCTCCTTAGGCAAGTGACTTTGTTTGAAATGTGCCTCTCTTCATATAGCAGTGAATGGTTACCCGGTACGATGAGATGGCAATGGTGGTTGTTTACCTTCTATTGCCAAAAAGGCAGCTTGGGTTGTATACTCCCCAGGGAGCTGAGAATGATTCTTGAGTGCACATTGACCCAGTGACCGGGGTAATAGCGATTTGAGCATGCCCCTGAGTGGTGTGGAAATATGTGCAATATAAATAGCATATTATTATTATAATTGTTTATCACATATAAACAAACTAAGAAATGAGATGTATATATCTGCTGAATATCACTCTTTCCACACAAGTGCTACAACTTAAGTGCTTACAAACACAAGTATTGATGTGTGATGTGTAACAATAAGTTCATGAACAACTGAACATTATGAAGACTGGGGATATTGGCAGTCAAATGAAAAAGAATTGATTGATGAAGTTTTAGATTTAATTCAATTGTAGGGTACCATAAATGGACAGCAACATTAAAAATGCATTTATGTACATTTGTTTGTTTGTTGTTTAACTCTGCGATCAGGAATATTCCAGCTATATGACGGCGGTCTGTAAATAATTTAGTCTGGACCAGACAATCCAGTGATTGACATCATGAGCATCTATCCACGCAATTGGGATACGATGACATAGTTCAAACACATCAGCATGCCTGACCACTCGATCCCTGTTAGTCGCCTCTTACGACAAGCATTGATGTACATACATTGTATTGTATTATTCATACTTTATGCAGTGACGCCTTTCTCTGGATACTGGGTGAGCATGGTTCATTTTATGGTCATGTGCTCTAGTCAGTAGTTCAGGTAAAACAATTCTCAAAAAGTAGAAATCTAATTTCACTTTTAATGAGTTCCAAAATGTAGTGTCTTTTATGACACGTTCAATATGGATACCCTTTCTGGACCAGACAACAAAGTTACAATAATTCATATCACAGACATGTAACTGGCCTTGCACCTGATGATAATAATTGTGGCTAGTTTGAAGAGAGTTTATACATATTTTACATGAGGTTTTAGATAGAACTGATTATCACAAATTTCACAAGGATGCTGGTCTCTGTATTTAAAGAGACACTTAACCTCCACAAGACCCTTACCACAACAGTCACATGTCACAAAATGAGTCAGGTGTAGCACCTAAGTGGGGGAAATCTGGGTTGATGACAAAACCGGATTTCTGTAAGACAAGGTTGGTATGACCAGACATCATAATAGTTTTATATTGATCAAGAGCGTCTTTTTCATGGTCCAAACCCCACCCACAGGGAGCATACACACTAGCTTGGTTATGTTTATTACTGTCAGAGTCAGTAGTTTGATCGTATTGCATTATCTTTTTCAATAATGAAACCTGACTGGGTTTACACTGACAATGATAAATACTACCAAAATTAGAGGCAGTTAAACGTCCTATTCTGTACTCAAACCAGGTAGCTGATCCACTCTGACAGATGGTTTCTTTCTCCAACACTGCAGCTTCCTGTTGGGTTATCATTAACTCATCAGAAAAAACATTCTCACATTTACATTTCAACTCATCCTCAGTCGAATGTTTATATTTCTCATCAAACAAAAGTGATAGTGGAGAAGGAAGTTGGGCATGTTCCTCCTGGGACCAGTCGGTAATAACAGGGTTAGTAATGGTAAATATGGCTGCGGAAGGTACACTTTTTCTCAACTTTACTAAAAGACTAGAACTATCTGCAAATTTAACTGGTTGTCTCTGGGCCAGAGGTGGTGCCAAGTGCACCTTCTTGACTTTGGAGAAGTTTATGTCTGCCACCATAGCTGGTTCAACCTGAAAAAATATTCAAATTCAGTTGCTAAAATGAATTTCACATTAAAGTTAAAAAATCACATTACACAGTTTTAAAATACTGACATGTTTTCAAACTTGTCTGTCTTTATGAAAAATACAAATCAGCCTGATATTTAAACCACTAACACACACTTGCACATTTTCTAAATGATGTTTTATAAGTCATTAATGTAATTCAACAATGAAATAGTTCTCAACTTCCATTACCAATTTGTTTAAAACATTATAAAGGAATATGGGACATACTTTGGTTTAAAATCAACACCAATATTTTGTTCTTTCAATTTCCATATTTTGCATGTTACCTTCTTTGTGAATGTCTGATTCCAGGAACAGGGCATGGACGTACAGGAAACTTTGTTGCACTCAAATCAAACACAGGCCTCCACTTTAAATAGGATACCAGCAACATGTGAACAGACTTCACCCAATCTGAATTTGAACAAACTTTTAAATAAACTGTGAACAATTAATTTACTATTTTTTTTCTGAAATATATGAAATTGAGTACAATGGGATTTATTTACCACAACAGATGATCATATTTGAAAGAAAACCTATTTACAGAAATATTTATTAAATAAATAAATCTAATACCCTGCCATGCATGTACAGTGTGCACACTCCACCCTGCTGCTCTTATCCAGACCAACCCATGCTTCATGGGGCTTCTCTGTCACAGCTTGGGATCTGTGAACCTTGGCCTGGAAAATCAATCAACATTTAATATATATATATATATTGCTGTCACAGACTCTCATGCGATTGGTTGATTATAATATTTGATATTCAGTGGTTTCTAAATTATAAGATCTTATTCTTTTTTACACACAAACTATGGATTAAGAGTACACTGACCATGGAAAACACATACTATGGCGCCGCACAGAATTACATGCCACGACCGTAAAGATAATATAATGCATGTTCAGATAAAAATATTAACATTGATGACTTACCTTAATTATTCACTTGGTCTGTGAAGAGTTGTACCTGATGAGACACGTATGAACCCATCCACTTTAAAAAAAAGTATAGGCCTCAAGTGAACGAAAACATCGCAAACTCTTTGTGGTAAAAGGACCAGGCGAGATAAGCGTACAGGTCGCCAAACTGCAATTTTGGCCACTGGGAAACGTCATCAATCCAGTTCTTATTTATTATATATGGTTCCCAATCTAGTGAAAATCCAAGTAAATTTAGTTTTTCTTCGTAACGAAGCTTGTCTACAGCACAAAGATGTTTGTAGTAGGCACTCATGATAACTGTGTAAACACGGAACGTAAATACGGCAGTGCGAAGTTTGAC